ATTACTTTTCTGCAAATTAAACAGGGCCCTTGGTGGGGAAGGATCGAGACGTGGAAATGATGTTTTATACTCCGAATATGGTCAATTTGAATGGTTTGGTGGCAGTTGGATTGGTAGGGATCCTTGTCAATCAACAGCCCAACTGTACTACATAGGCCCCCTCCAACTTATCAACTACTGATTACTAGTTTGGATTAAGGGATAATGGTCCTATGATACAACAATGGTTTGATTTGAAAGATCGATGCCTCGATGGTAATATTAGGATTGAAATAATATTTACAAAATTATAAATTACTAACATATCATCATTATAAAAATTGATTTTTTTGTGCGGTCAAAAGACCCTAAAAAGGGTGCGTGCAAATTAAATCTTGACCGTATGAGATGAAGCGCCAGTAGCATTCAAGAGGGAGCAGAATTGAAAAATGAATTTTGTTCAGAAGAATTATAGTGTCCAAATTGATGTTATCAAGTGAATTGGGCCATACATGTACTTGGGAAGCAAAAACCTATTGGATTGTATGTTTTAATTGGTTTGCATATCAATTAAATTATTTGAGTGGATTGGAGTTGGATTAAGTTATTTTGGTTATTACTTACATTAGTTTAATACATCTAATTTATTTGATCAATTGGGTTTATATATATATATATATATATATATATATATATATATATATATATATATATATATATATATATATATATATATATTAACTTATTTTATTTTAGTCCAAATTTTAAACATATAAGTGTTTCAATAGGAATTTCAATAGAATTAAAGACGAGATTAGTGACGGAGGAATATATTAGAAAATAGTAACATATTTACATTTATTTACTTTAGGGTCCGTTTGGAAAGCAGGAAAATGACTTCTGAAAAATGTTTTCTGGAAAATGAGTCATTTTCCGGAAAACATTTTCCTTTCCAGTGTTTGGTTGCATTATGGAAAATTGTTTTTCTGTGTTTGGTTCATTTTCTGGAAAATGAGTAGAATTGTATAATTAAACATTTTAATTATTTTATTTAGAATATTACAACATGTATACTAATATAATATTAATTTTAAATATAATAAAAAATAGCTAAGTTTTTCAAAAAAAAAAAAATTAATACTCCTAATATATCAAAAATATTATGGTGGTGGTGGTGTTATTCGTTATATAATAATAATAATAATAATAATAATAATAATAATAATAATAATAATAATAATAATTGGTGGTGGTATGACGGTGGTGGTGTGGTGGCGATGGTGGTTGCGGTGGTATGGTCGTGGTGGTGGCGGCGGCGGCGGTGTGATGGTGGTTGCGGTGGTATGGTGGTGGTAGCGGCAACGGTGGTTGTGGTGGTGGTGTGATGGTGGCGGGGGTATAGTGGTGGTGGCGGCGGCAATAGTGGTGGTGATGGTGGTATGGTGTTGATGATGTTGGTGGTGGTGTGATGTTGGTGTAAAAGTTGGAAAATGACTTCCCCCCAAAAAAAGGGGAAGTCATTTTCCTCCAAAACAAGCCTATTTTCCAAAGTCAACGGAAAATGATTTCCGTTGACTTGATTTTCCAGGCACATCCAAACACTGAAAACTTGGAAATGATTTCCAGAACTCATTTTCCAGGTTTCCAAACACACCCTTAGAGAAGAAACATAATAATTTGTAACGGATGGCTTATTGAAAAATATTCGCAACATTAACGCGCGGACTGGAAATCTTTTAAAGTAGTGTTATTATAACACGATTCAGATTTCCTTTCAGTCATATACCCGCCGTGTCTGTGTTTCTTAAAAGGTTTCCAGCTCGCGCGTTGACGTTGCAAATATTTTCCAACAGTTGAAAGCGTTATTCAAGCAACAGTCAACCTTTCAGCATTATGACACCTTCTGTCATACCCGATCTATCCAAGATCACTGCCCTTGATGGGAAAAACTACAAAAGGTGGGCTCAAAGAATGTTTATCCTCTTCGAACAGCTAAAATTGGTTTGTGTGCTGTTTTGGCACCACTTCTGTGGTCAAACAGAATCATGAAAAGACTTACACCAGTTTTATGTCTTTAACTACTCTATAAGCCTTTAAAGGTGGTCTATACTGAGATAGACTTGATAGAGTTAAAAGTCTACATTGAGATGGACTTGACAGACATAAAAATCTATAATGCGATAAGATTGGTCAGAGTTAAAATTCTATGTTGAGATAGACTTTACCAGGATTAAGGTCTATATTGAGATAAACTTGATAGGGATTCTTGAGAAGTCAAAGAGTTTGACATTCGTAGAACCTGCAATCGTGAGAGTTGATGTGTGCATTTGAGTTCAAAGTTTTTCTAACCAATAAGTTCAATATATATTTCACTCTTGGGAAGAAAACTACTCAATGTCACTACGTGTTAGTTCAAGATCTCAATCACTAACATTAAGATCAACTTTTGTGTATTGCTCAGACATTGTTCATTTCAGTCTTCTTTCTGAACGTGTGGGGATTGTTGGGAAACATTCAAGACATAAGGCTTCTTCATTCCTTTACGGATTAGTCAAAGTTGACTGCTTCCTTCATTCTCTATTTCTCCTTAATAGGCGCTGATCATGTGGACTACATGAAGGAGTTTGTTGGGGATTAACAATATAAATTCTTACTCCCACTTTGAGTTAAGACACAACAAAAACGATAATCTCATATTCTCTCTTTTGTCTGCATCCTAGAGATCCTTGAGTCTAAGCAATAAGTTAAGTTCATCCACGTTAAAGCTGGTACAAGCTCAACGTGATTATTCTGTGTTGCCTGTCGAAAGCGTACCGAAAATTTGACTGCACCGTCACCGGTCAAATAACGCTTTTAAGGTAGTGTTATTATAACACAGCACATATTTCCTTTTAGCCATACACCTGTCGTGTCCGTATTTCTTAAAAGGTTTCCAACCCACGCGTTGACGTTGCGAATATTTTCCAACATCACTGAATATGGAAGTGATCCACAAAATACAATATAATATGAAATTGGTGAAATAGATTAAACCTCCAGCGAAATGGATTTAACTAAATGCCAATGGATGTTTACTGAAACATAAAGAACCAATAACGCCTCCACTGAGGCTCGAACTCATAATAATTTTCTAAATGGAAGTCCAACCCGAATACCATTAGACCACATAGTCCTGGTATGCCAATGGATGTTATATTTACATGCATTGACCAAATAACACGTAATGGGGGCCTAATTTGAGATTCTGCGGGTTTTTGAATTATGAAATTTATGCAGGTCAAAGACTACAATGGGATAAAAATGACACTTTTAAAATGTGGACTAAAATAGGAAAAGAGTGTTTAGGACATGCGTTTCTTGTTAGAAACGCAGGTCTCACATGCGTTTGAGCCTAACTTTTTTTTATTTTTTTGACCTCACCTGGACTCAGTGCTAGCCTTGCGCCCAAACCTGCGTCTTAGGTTTATTTCGGAGAAAAAAAATTAGGCTCAAATGCATGTGGGACATGTCAGAAACGCACTTTTCCTATTTTAATCCACATTTTAAAAATGTCCCATTTTTGTCAAGAAAGTATATTTTCTTCCCATTGTAGTTTGACTGTTGGTGCATGTAGTTCTGTTACAGATGAGATATGGGCAGTTTTCAAAGGGTTTCAAATTGCATGGTATATAGGATGGCACGTGGAATGAATTGGACAATTGGTAAGTGGTTGATTGGAGTAATTTTGTCTTGTGGTCGTTTTAAAATCTTTTAGGGGATATAGGTAAATTATGGACTCCTTGATTTTTTTGTGTGGAATCTAAAGTGGAGAGATAATTTTGTGTTGAAATTCAAAGTTAGACTAAAGTGTGTAGTTATCTTTTTGTTGGTATGTTTACAAGAAAAATATAATCAACCTACCTTTCTATGCAAAAAAAAAAAAAAAAAAAAAAAAAAAAAAAAAAAAAAACGATATACAAATACTACTACAATGTTGACTTCAATAGAGGAGAAAGAAAGGTCGTATCCCTACCATTTCTCTCTCCACCATTTATTGCTGGCTCCTAAAGCTATCCTCATCCCAAAAATGTTAGCACTTGCAAGATGACATGGCCATTGAAGTGTCATTTTTTTTTTTTTGGTTTTAATTTTCGTGCCATGTGTCTAGAAAGCTTTCTTAATTAGAAAGTTTGCTAAAACTGACAAAGGTTGCGTATACCTTTTTAAAAAAAAATTATTATTTGTGTACTTTAGTTATCTATTATATTATTTTATTATTATATTTATAATATAATATGAAAGTTAGACCATTTTAGAAAGTGAGAGAATATTGCAGGGATGTAGAACAAACAGTAGATAATTTGTAAATTTAATGATGTGAAAGTAGGACCCATTTTAAAAAGTGAGAGAAATTTGCTGGGATAAGGATAGCGTAAATTTATTAAATGAATGAGAGATAGATGAACGGCAGTAACACTACATTTTCTTTCTCCCCTCTTTATCACTTCCGCATGTCTTCTACCATCTTCTCACATTCTCAATTCTTTCTCCATACATCACTTTCAACAATCACTACAAGAAAAATCGCGAATCGCAACGGAATTTTTCCGTCGCGAATGGGCAATATTCCGTCGCGAATCGCGTTTCGCGACGGAATTTATTCCGTCGTCTATCGCCTTGTCGTATTTTGATAGACGACGGAATAATTCCGTCGCGATTCCGTCGCCCATTTCGCAATGGAACTGTTTCCGTTGCAAATCCGTCTTTATTTCTGAACCGAATATTCCGTCACCATATTATCTTTTCCGTCGCCCATTTCGCAACGAAAATGTTTCCCGTCGTAATTCCGTCGCATCATTTGCAACAAATATTCCGTCGCATCATTTGCAACAAATATTCCGTCGCAAATTTTATATTCCATCGTAATTCCGTCACGTTTTTGAATTATTTTAAAATAAAATTGTGATTTTTAAATAGTAATGAATGTTTTTAAAATATCTTATTTTCCTGTATCTCAATCATAGCAATTAAACGCCTTAGGCTGGGAAAAAAGCAGCATAGAGATGACAATAATGCTTTATTATTTAAAATTTCAAAACTAAAACAAAAGGTTTAACAAGATGCATCATTAGTCTCTCTAACGGCTACACTACAGTAATCATGTACACATGATTTTCAAATACTTCTACATGATGGTTCCACTAGGAATCAATGCATCCTTGATGATTGTGACGATTCCACTTTTAGTGAAATATCCTTCAGTTTCCCTAGCTGCTTCTTGAACATTTTCACTGTTAATGATCTGAAACAATCAAGAGTATGATATCCATTAGATCATGAATTAATAAAATATCGCATCCTGCCCAAAAGCCAATTTTAGCCCAACAGGAATGCACATGCATTCGGTATCTACATGGATGATTACCTCATAGTAATCTGCTCCCATCATTAATGTATAATTGCTCCCTCTGATATGCATGATCTAAGTCCAACCACAGAATGGTGAATTTTACAGTTCTGCACCAAACAACACACTTGTGAATACAGACCATATAGGTTTCATAGTACTGTAGCGTCAACTAGGGGTGAGCATCAGTCGGTTACGGTCAATAACCGACCGATAAGAATTAAGATAAGCTTTAGACACTAATCTTTATTAGATTAAGTAAAATGATGGGGTTTCCATATCTCCTTTCCAGGTCTTCAAAATGCATCTTTGTTGCCTCATTACGGAAACAAGTCGGTCGCAATTTCCGTCGCGATTTCGCGACAGAACGAACATCGGTCGCCTTTTCCGTCGCAAAATGGGCGACGGAAATTAATTCCATCGTAAATTCGGTCGTGAATATTTTGCCGCCAATATTTCGCGGGCTTTATTTATCTTTGCGCCAAGATTCGCGACAGAATTTAATTCTGTCGCCTTTTCCATCGCCATTTTGCAACGGAATGTATTCGGTCGCAATTTCGGTCGCTAAATGGCGACGGAATATAGTCCATCGCGATTTTCCGTCGCGATTCGTGATTTTTCTTGTAGTGAATATTTCTCACAAAATCCTTTCTCAATATCTTAATCTCTCATCCTTTCCCCAAACTTTTTCCCAACTATTTAAATCTTTTTTTCTCTTCTACCCTCCACACCAAGATGCAGTGGTAGTTGGAGCTCCGACGGGCAAGAGGCGGCAAGCGGGTGATGCAATTAGCGTTGGTTTCTGGTGAACTTGTGAAAAAAAAACGGTAATGTTATTGTTGTTTTATCGTCACCTTAATCATTAATTTGATTTTGTGGATGCATACCTAATTATTTAATTAGTGGCTATGTTTCAAAACAGGCGTTTCATTGGCCAGTTAATGCAACAAGTTGGATTGCGTTGGCCAACCAATGTTGATAAGGAATTGTCCGCCAGGGAACAATACAAGTACGTCCTAAGGAGGTGCCATTGCAAGACAAGTTACAGTGTTTGGTTAGAGGGAATTGCAATTCCCTCCTTCTGTTGAATTGCAATTCATGGGGTACCCCCATGAATTGCAATTCAATGCTTTTGGGAAAGGAAAAAAATAGATGAAATGGCAAAAATATCCTTGATGATTGTTATTCTTCTTATTACACAAGGACATTTTAGTCTTTATACCATTTTTTTCCTTCTCATTCCCAATAATTCTATTCCTCCTACCAAACAATGTAATTTGAATTCCTACATGATTCCTACCTTATTCTTTTCCCACCGAATTGCAATTCCTTTCATTCCTAATTCATTCCTCCCAACCAAACACCCTGTAAGAGGATTTCACTATACAATATAAGCCACTTTAGCCTTGATCACAAAGCCGACTTCAAGTCTCAGGTTTTTCACAAGACAACCCTTGCTACTGCGCTTCTTTCTACTTTCCAAAGTAAAGGACAAGTTGGTTTGAACACCAAAGTAGTTCGAATCTCCAACTGTTGACTTGTCTTGCTCTTTAATACGTAGAAATTTAGTTTTGAGTTTCTCTCTCTCACTAGTCAAATAGCTAGATTGCTTGAAATGCTTGTTTGCACACGTGAAATTTTCTCAAAGACCATCACCTCATTCATATTTGAATGGATGTGTTTATAGACCCATCTTAAATTTATCCGTTGGAGGGAACAAGATTCAAATAGCCTTTTATTCTTCGTGCAATGACTAGTGGGTTTTAAGGTTGGTTGTTTTTGTCAAACTTCTAGCTGTTGCATTACTTTTACTCCTGATGCCTTGCTTTCTGAATTGAACGTTTTGCCTTGGCCATTTATGGAAATCCTTCTTGGAATATGTACCTAAGAATTTTGAAACATTGGTAACATTCTTCTTGCTTGACATGCATTTTTTAGGTTGATCACTATTCGGTTAGAGAATGTCCAATGTTATTTATGTAACGTAAGTCTTTTACTTTTCAGAGATTTACTTTCCGTGTTATACCTTAGCGACCTAGCTTTCGGACTTGACTTTACAAAAAGTAACTCTTACTACCTTCAGAAATAACAAAGAATTCAAGTAGTTTTACTTTCCGGTCACTTAACTTTTCCGATAATGTTGACCCTTCCACTTTTCGACCTCTTAACCTTCATGTCTTCAACTCTTCGAATCACTTCAAGTCTTCTACTTCTCGGACTTCATCATCTCGATCTTGACTTTTCAAAGATTGACCTTTCAAAGATTACTGTTCACAAACATTTGAAACTTAACTATCCTGAGGTTACTTTTTAGATTGAGTTTACTTTCTGATTAATAGAGTTCGTTTATAAAGTTGACCTTTCGAATTTACAGTGAGAAATTTTTAAGTCTAGAAAATGAGAAATAATTGGGGACCTAAATTCCTTAACTAAGTTTGGTATCATCAACATCTATCTAACACTTGTTCCTAATAATTTTCCCATTTTTTTTATGATGCTAAAACCTATATACTTATTTTTAGAGTTAATTATACCAAAGGTCCCATTGTCTTTGGTGGTAATTCCAAATCTAGTCTCAGACTATCGTTTTTGCCATTTAACATCCTAGACTATTATTTTTTGGACACTTTTAGTCATTCTCATAACTTTTTCTATTTTTAGTAAGGGCAATTTTGTCTTTTCATATTTTTGTTGGTTTAATTGGTTTAGAACTTTATGTAACCTCTGATTTTTAGTAACCAAAATTTTCAACCGATTTTTAGTAAAGTCATAAACCAATTAAACCTGTTGAAATAGGAAAAATAACAAAAGAAAAATATGATTAGACAAAAATGCCCTTACTAAAAATAGAAAAGTCATGAAAATGACTAAAAGCGTCTAAAAAATAATAGTATGAGATGTTAAATGACAAAAATGATAGTCTGAAACTAAATTTAGAATTGTCATTCAAGACAAAGGACCTCTGGTAGAATTAATTCTTATTTTTATGGCTGATTTGAAAATTCAAATTTTTTAATTTTGATGTCATTGTAATTTTTAGCGCATAATTTGAGTTTGGAAATTTTGAAATTCCAAATACAACTAAATAATTAAAACTGCATGCAAAAATATAAATGATTTTCACTAGCATACAAAATCATTACATATTATATCATTCATTTAAAATCTTGGAATGCATGGAAGTAAATAACCATTACACATTATTGAAACTTACGTTCTTCCTCAGCTTTCTTCTATCTTTTTCCTTACTACTTCTTATGCACTACTATACAATTCTTCATTCAAATTCGGGAAAATGTCACTTTTTAGCCCTGAATTATATGTTTATACTTTATAGTACATTTTTTCCTTTAATTATTCATGTAAGCATATTAGCTCCCTCAATTATTTTAGAAGTAACAGATTTTTTCTTCTAGTATATTAAATTGACATTTTTATCCTTAAAGTAAACATTTTATTTATTTTTGAGTAAATACCTAAAATGGTCCCTCGACTATAGCTAAATTCACAAATTGGTCATCGACTTTCAATTTCAACCAATTAAGTCCTTAACTTTGTTATTTTGACACGATTTGGTCCTCCATCTATTTGATCGTTTGTTGACTGTGATCGACGATCTCCAGAAGAACCTTTAGCTCCCGTCGGAGCACGTGGAGGCCTCTAGGATGACGTTGCACTGGTTCGGAAACATGTCGTCTTCTTCGCTCTGGTACGAACTCAACTACATTTAATCCAAAGGGAGGATGAAGAAAGGCGACCGGATTTGGTAGATTGCTTTCGGCAGTGGATTCAAATGTAACAATGCAGTCTAGAAATGCAACCAGAACCCCTTAAAAAACCGACGATGGACCATGAAATTACATATATATCCTCAAAAATCGCAGTCAACAAACGGTCAAATAGACAGAGGACCAAATTGTGTTAAAATTACAAAGTTAAGGACATAATTGGTTAAAATTGAAAGTCGAAGACCAATTTGTGAATTTAGCTATAGTCGAGGGACCATTTTGGGTATTTACTCTTTATTTTTTCATCACCAACAATTTATTGCTTATACGTAGGGATGATCACAGTTCGGTTCGAACTAAACCGGACACTATAGCAATCGAATTGAAAGTTTTCGGTTATGATTCATATCCAGAACCCAATATTTGGATTTCAGTTTATTAAAACCATGAATCGAAAAAATTGGATCTGAACCGTGAATCGTCGGTTCGAATTAGAACAACTACAAGCATTAGTTTAAAATTAGAATTATAATATTTACAAATAGTGTATGTTCTTTTTTACATTTATTCTGAATCTCACATATAAGTATATATGACCGCGATTTGGTTTTGATTTTGAACCGCCGGTTCACGGTTCTGGATCCAGTTTGAACTGCTAGTTCAAACTTTAATTTAAAATTTTATTTCTTATTTTTAAAATACTCTAAATTCAACAATAAATGTATTTTTTTTCAGTTCGAAACATGAACCGCCCGGTCCAGTTTGTGATTTTAATAAACTCTAAATATCAAGTTTCGATTCTAAATTGTAATCATAATATTTCAGTTTGGTTGCTATAGTGTCTGTTCTGTTTGAACCAAATCGTGATTATAATTTGTTAAACAGATACTATAATGTAATAGAGTCAGAGCATTCAAAAAAGAATATTTATTTTAAAGGTATCAAATGAAAAAACTGCGTATTGAATAATTCTGGAGAAATATTCAAGTGCTATAAATATATAGTTTGGGAAAAAAAATATATGCTATTTTCTCATTATAGAACTCCCTGCACATGTCTCTATCTCGTTAAGCCATACATACTGAGAGTTCTGTTCTGATATATGCTTTATGGAGCCATGGGCGCCATTTTCCACGCTCAATCTGAGAATTGGATTCCCCAGTGCCACTACGTCATGCGCCGGAACCCATATCCGGACCAGAATCGGATTCCGCATTCACATTATGCAGCCTACCGGAGCCTCAACCCGAATTGGATTCCCCAGTCGCACGATGTTAAGTGGCAGAGCCAGAACTTGTGCTGTAGCCCTAACTTTTCTGGATCGCGCCGCCGCAAAAGGAGCCCCGCCGGCATGAATCCACCTAATTCCCGAAATCATTCAAGAGCCAATCTCCGGCCGGAAGGCGCTTCGGCTTTGGGGCCCGGTTCTCCAGCTAAAAACCTCGTCATGGGCCAGGTTAAGATCCTTAAACGCGGGGAGCAATTGCCGTCTCCGAGTTCGGACACAACGACGACGACGTCTTCGCGCGAATCTTCTCCTGGATCAGGCGGCGTTTACTGGAATGCGGAGGAAATGCTGGTTCTCTGTTCGACTCAACGGCTGGGACCGGAGCCGGAGACCGTGCATAAGGAAATTAAGTTGCCGGATTTGTCTGCGTTTTTGGTTTCACCTCTGCCCAGTTCTCTGCCTATTCCGAAATTCTTTGGGACGAAAGTGAAGAAAACTGGTGCAGCTACCTGCCACTTGCGTTGATTTGGAGTAAATTCTTGGCACTTTAAGACAATTGGGAATGAATATGAATGAACAATTGGAGATATCTGGCAAGCCAAGCTGTTCGGATTGTATTGCTTTCTCTTGCTTCCTAATGTTTTTCAGCAAGCAAGCAAGCAAGCAAGCAAATAAAGGGTTGAGAACTTGAAATTGAAGGAAAAGAAAACCATAAATGGTTTATCTTGTCCTTTGTGGGAGTTTTGCAGCTTTTGTATGCCTGATATAGAATGTGTATTCTCAGTGAATAGGTAATGCAGGACTCCATAAGAAATTCAGATTGTCTTTTGATATCTCCAAATGCAAGTATTGGGTTTTGTAGGATGAGCAGGTACCGTGAATATGTGGAGGAAACCTGATAAGGAAGTTAGCTATTCAGTTCTCTATTCTTTGATTTTATCATTTTGTTTGTAAATGTAATTTTTGAGTTTAATGCAATAAGAGGTTTATGGTTTTGTGGACTACAGGAGTGCCATATGTTTACTTTTGAAGTTCTGAGTAATTTGGTCTGGCTTGTGCTTGTGCTTCTTTTTATTTGTTAGTACTATGTTGTGTTTCCTGAATGAGTGTAGTTTATATATATCCGAGCAAAGTTGTTTGATTACAACTATCTTTTGGAGGTTTTGATTTTAATTTGGACGATGGGAGGGGAAAATATTTCTGGTTGATGAGCTTTTGCATTCCTGCTTTATCTTTTTTGGTTCACGTATCTGTAGGTTAATAAAGATGTGACATTTCCTCTGAACCAAAAATGAAATGTGTGCCACTGCTTGAAACATGTTTTTGTACAGTTTTCATACTGTATTGGGAATTGATTGTCTTTCTTTTCTTCTGGCTTTTATGGGATTTAATTTTCACTTTATTTGGTCAACAATTCTGGAACTGTTGTTGCCTTATCGTAAAAGGAGATGTGAGTTTTATGTCTGATGCATATGACATAAAACAAGAATCAATTCTTTGATGAATTCTGCTCATTATTGGTCCTTTTGATGAATTCTGCTCATTATTGGTCCTCTGAGTATGATAGAGATGATTACTGTGCATTACTCTGAGCAGTATTTGTGTTATACTTTTTATTTATAAGTTCATTCTTGAATGATCGATCTGGTTCAGTGTTGAGGATGCACATAGGTATAATCACTTCATTCATTATGCCCTTTGTATTGTTTGAGTTTCTACTTGCATGTGTAACCCTGTAACTTAATCATTTTCTTGCCTATGCTGCTGCTATTTTCATTAGCTTCAGGATAGCTGGTACTGTTCTCCCAGAATGGATGTTTTTTCCACAACATAATCTCTTCAACAGGGATGTGTTTAGTTTCAGGTGGAACAGGTAGATGAAGACTTTTGGAATCGTAATCCATCCAACGAAGAAGAGGAAATCCAGAACCTGGATGCACAGAGGTAGCCGGTAGGAAAGGAATGATTCTTTGTTTTGTGAAGTGGAGAGAGGTTTACAGCCAAAATAACTAACTTGTCACTATCATCCAAGATGGCATTATGTCCATTAAAAGAGAAACAGCAACAAATTTAGAGACTACTCCATAGTCCATACCAAACTGGGAAGCTCTTTAAAGTTCCATATAGTTGCTGAATTTTAGCCCCAAAATTATTGCGCATCTGTGATTTGTTTCTCATGTGATAGAAATAGAGATTCATGGTAGCCAAGACTCAGAGAATGATTAACATAAAACTTTGTAGACTGGAATTTGTCCAGCGAAGACGCGCTTATTACCTGAGCACTGTTAGAGTAGATGTGATCATGTGTCTGTTAACTTTGGATCTGTTCTTGACTACTTATTAAAAGTATCATTGTCTTTGGTCTGTGTATTGGCCTTGTTTTCGTTGTCCATCAGCATTCCCACAGAAGGCCATGAGGAAATCTTTTATTATAATGCATTTTTTTTTAATTAGATGCATTTAAACTTTGTGAACTTTGGTATATCATGATTGAGTGAAATGCATAAACATACATTAGGAAAAACAAACTTCTTGACTCAGATTTATGTTGTATTAAATTGTGATGCATGCTTAATTCTCAAAGTATTGGTTGGTTAAGATTTTGTTCAATTCAATACATTTACCTGAATTTCTCTGTACTCTTAAGTTACAAAGACTTGCAGAAAAAGAAGTTAGCAACTTTTCTCTAGCTAACGGTGGTGACAGTCAACGGATACCAGAAACAATTTTCTTCCAGAACCAGTGCTTCTGCCACAGCTGCATCATCTCTTCAATAGGAACTCCCTTTGTTTCAGGTAGAAAAAGATAGACAAAAATTGTCATGATGGTGATAAAGCCAGCAAAGAGTAGGAAAATCCCGAATTTGAGAGCACACAGAAGTGAGAGGAAAGATTGTGCTATTGCAAAAGTGAAGAAGAGATTCACAGCCACTGTGATGCTTTGGCCAGCAGATCGCGTCTCCAGTGGGAAAATTTCACTTGGCACTGTCCATCCTAAAGGACCCCAAGACCACCCAAAGGCCGCGACAAAGAGGCAGATAACAACCACCACTAAGATTGAATAGCCTTTTGAAAGCACCTTGTCATCTCCGAATTTCAGGCCTAGAATTATGGCAGCGATAACCTGTAATTGTAGGCATTGCCGTTTCTGTATCAGCAACAGTTCACGTTGAAGAAAATATACTAATTTTGTTGATTCAGTTGTTCATTTCCTTTCTGTAGATTTTAACAGTGTTGCAACATCACATGTTATAGGAAGTTTTTGAGTATCTGGATTTATTTATTTAAGTGTGTTCTAATTACCACCATCTCTTTTACCTGGCAGACGATCATTTGGATTCCGCCAGCAATGAGCAAAACTCTTCGGCCCCAACTATCAACTGTAGCCATGGAAACCACTGTAGATGAAACAAGAACAGCTCCAGTCAAAGCAGACGAGTAGAGGGCTGCAGTTCCTTTGAATCCCATACTCTGGAACAACACTGGAGCATAGAAGAGTATAATATTTATTCCCGTAAGTATCTGGAATGTTGGCATGAAGATTGCCATGATGAGTTGAGGCCGGTTTCTCCTCTGCAGAATGTTTCTGAATGGATGGTGAATTGACCTTGCCAAGTCACTTGCCTCAATCATGTCTTCATACTCTGCATCCACATTCTCAGTCCCTCTTATTTTTTGCAAAACTCCTTTCCCTTTCTCTCTTTTCCCCTGTTCAATTAAGCTGTTTGGTGTCTCAGGAAGAAGTATTCCCCCCACGGTCATCAACAAAGCTGGCAGTGCAGCAAGGCCTAATGAAAGCCTCCATCCCCAAGGATGAAGCTTGCTTGTTCCATAGTTGATCATGTTTGCTGTGAAGATCCCGAGTGTTGTTGCTAATTGAAACAGCATGTTCAAGGCTCCTCTAATATGGGCTGGTGCCATCTCTGACAAATATAATGGGACCGCCTTCAAGAAAACCAACAGAGAGTTAATACACTTGCCTCAGAAAATCTAATGCTATAAATTGTCTGCATTGTCCTAAATTTCTTTTCATCTTGTTTAATTATTATCTTTTCACCTTTTTGTCAAGCATTCCTTGAGATTGCAGGTTCCTATCTCTGATAAAAAATAAAGTTGTATTCTGGGACAACACATGAAATTGCTAACCTGGTTACCAAAGCCAATGCCTACACCAAGCATAATTCTGCCTAAAAGAAGCATGGCCAGGTTGACAGCTGAGGCGTTGAGAGCAGCTCCAACAAGAAAACTGATACCACCGCATATTATACTCATGCGACGTCCATGGCTCCTTGTGATGCGCGATGCAACCAGAGATGTGACTAAACCAGCTAAATATAAAGATGAGGTAAACGCTGAAAGACTTTGGCTGTCATATTTGCAGTAGTTGTCTTCATGTGCATGCTTCTTTTTTTCATACACTGCGCGGAAGAACCGCTCAAGAAATTCATCCATTGATGTCACTCCCCCTGTTATGCATTCGAAGAAATGAAGGAAAAATTTTAGTCACATAGGGAAACAAATTCTTTCTAAATGCATCCGAACTTCTGTTTCTGCCACAACTACTTAGTCCTAACCCACAATTTATGTGTATTGCTATAATCTGGCATGCCTTTTTCAGTTGGGGACCTTTTAGTTCTGATCTTTGGCCTGAAGTGGCTGCTGGTAGTAATTTTGTTTCTGTTTATTGAGTTTGTCTGAATCATTTTTGCTCCTGAGTCCTGAATCCACACCCAAAGGAATAAAGAGAATTGATGCATTTTTTTATTTTATTTATTATTATTATTTTTTTTATACATTATGTTTCCAGCTTAGGCCAGACTAATCTTAAATCCCAAGAACTCTTGCCCAAGAGTCGCTAGAAGAGATAATTTGTAAGTCGCTTAAGCAGCCTTCCAGTCAGTCCTTGTCGTTGACTCTGGAAATGATACTTTTCTAACATACCTTGGGGGGGGGGGGGGGGGGGGGGGGTATAAAGAAGAGAAAAGTGAAGAAGAGGTAGAATATTCTCCCAATCCCAGGTTGGTTGTTCATGCCAGTGACTGGTGTTGTTTTCATGAGTATTTTATGAAAGTGGAAGAATCAAGAATCACCTGAAACTCCAATGTCATAACCAAATAGTGAGCCTCCAATAGCAGCAACTAAACAGGCTATGATGACATAGGGTGTCACCCTTCCTTGGTACTCTTTGTTCACCCCAGTTTCTGCAATTGATCCTCCTCCTCCTGCCATCTCCAATTCTATCTTCTCTCTCCTTTCCTTATCTCAACTCTTTCTGAGTGCGGTTTCCGTTGAATTTTAGAACTGAAGTAGTAGGCACTTCCCAGGCCCAATTCATGAAATGAACAAATTTGGTGGGGATATAGTATATATATCTATATCTTCGAATTCCCTCACTCATTCATATATGCATTCATTCAATCATCATCTTTAATGGATACAGGTGATCTGAAATTGACCTTTAATATACTTAATTCCTTATTCTATTATTATATTTAACTAGTATTGTACTTGTGCGGTGCACGGATATGACTTATGTTAAGTAATATTACTTAAATAGTAACATATATAATACTTAATAATAAAATAAAAACAATATACTGATGTTTTCAATGACTTCACATTGGGATAAACGTACACTCTTCTGTATTTGTACACTCTTTCATTTGTAAACTGTATTTGTTTAATTATTGTAAACTAATTGAAGAGTTATTTTATTTACATTAGAAGGTTGGACATTTATATCTCTAACATATTGAAATTAAACCATAACAATGCAAAAAATCAAATCAATCAATTTAACTAAAAAAAAACACTCACCAATGTTACTTAAATATTAACATATATAATAAATTGTAAATATTAACATACTTAATAATAAAATAAAATAAAAACAATATACTGATGTTTATATTCATTATTTATTTATTTATATAATTCCGTATTTATTTATTTATTTATTCATATTTAGTATTTAATTACATATATTAAAAAATAAGATGACTTTT